ATTTTCCCACCGAGGCTCGAACCCACTGTCCATAGTTTCAAATGCCAAAGCCTTATCGTCGAAGCATCTGCACAAGAAGCCGACATGTCAACCTGAGACCGAGCACTTCGGTCCAATCAATCGACGGGAAAATCTAAAATTCAATTAAATGAAACTAATTAGTGTTTAAAGAGAACTAATCAAATGTCTAACTTACTTAATAGTTAAATACAAGTACATACACTCATAATTTTTATGATAATCGAAGTTATTACAAAAGAATAAACAGTCAGTTATTCAATGGTAAAAGTAACTAGTTATAGAATTTTTGTTTTAGAAAGTAACCATCCTGAACTAAAGGTTTACAGAATAACATTTTTACATGAACAGTTATGAGTCATAATTAAGTGTAGGTAGGTAAGTTAATGAGTAAACAAAGATTTTTGTTTATTTTTATTTACTGTAAGCGAAAACTAAGCGGAGGTTATGAATAATATATGGACTTTGTTTTCTGACATTTTAAGGTATTCAGTAAAGATATTGAATCACACTATCAGGTTAATTATATGTAAGATTAGAGCATTGAATGGTAATTACTTCTAATGACCAGTTTGATAATTTTAACTAGAATCAATGTGAAATCACACACCAGGCCCTCAAGTGGATTCCGAATAGGAGGAGGCGGGTTTAACGTCCTATGATGACAGGAAAAGATCATATGAAGAGGAAACTTAAAGTGACTACAGAGAATTGAGTGAGACGAAGATGTGCTGCTGAAGCCCTATGTTCTTTCCAGAACGCAAGGACCTAATAATAATCATAATAATGACAATGAAAGTAATAAAGTCGACTGATTCCATATTAGTTGAAACGTTCAGCCCCACCCCAAAAGTATGGTGGAGATATGTTGTTAACAAACTCGTAGGCGAAAACCAACAAACTGGCAGAAGAAGCAGCCAGCGAATACAGGATTTCAAATGAACGTAGAAAAGATGGAGATGATGAAGGCAACAAACCAACCACATCAACGAAAAGAAACAATCGCTATAAGTGGGAGAAATTTCCTTCACTTATCTAGGCAGCATCGTTTCAACTACGAATACTCGGGACGGATGAAGGTGTCAAAGCCAGCCAGAATCGGAAAGGCAAGATACACCAAAAACAATCTGAAATCGATTTGGAAATCTGCTGCAATCAGTCAGCATTAAGAACAAGATTAGGATTTTCAACACCACTATGAAGTCAGTTCTTCTATATGGGTCAGAAACCTGGAGCTTCACGAAAAGCATTTCCATTGGGTTGCAGACTTTTATCAACAGCTGCCTTCGCTGGCGCCATATTGTAGGCTGAATAGTCGGAAAGAATTAGCAACAAGAAACTATGGGAACAAACTAATCAAGAACATATCATTCAAAAAATATGCCAAAGAAAATGGAGATGGATCGGAAAAACACTGAGCAGAAGGTAGCGTGACATCACGCGCCAGGGAAACCCTCTAGTGAGACCCGTGTGAGAGACGATGAGTGAGGCGTTCGAGATTGACATGCAGGAGGTCGTGCGAGAAGAAGAATATGAGAGATTATGAGAAACCATGGGTCCAGCAAAAAAGGACAGCAGAAAACAAAACAAAGCGATGTGTTGTGGACAATTCAGATAAGCTCCACTATCGGATCCACCATTCATAGTCACATTATTTGATTTGTCAAATGTAGATATCTTATTCGTGAAATTAAATCAAATTTATTGTAGAGAAATAGGTTACAGATTGATAAAAAAAAAACAATAATTAGTCGTAAGTATATTCAAAAACTAGCCAGCTAATATGTGCAGTTGTACTTTAAAAATTTGAAACCCAACAAGTAATTACACTCTGTTTTTCAATAACTAAAAACTGTAGGATTACGGCTGTAAGAAGCAGACTACCTCTTACATACATTAGCTTTTATTTCTCTAGTGTAACAGCATGACATCTCTATGCTAGATCAAAACAGACTTATGAATATTCTGTCCCACTTATCCTATAAAGGATAATGAATCTATTACACAAATAAACAGGTATCTGAACAAAGCAAGAACTACAGTTCTAGAAGAATGAAATGGTACCATCTTTTATTTCGTTGCCTTCCGTCAGCTGCTTACAGGCAAGACTTATAAATGTAACAAACAATTAACATACTTGCACAGAGTTATTAAAAAATATATATATATGTATATATATATATATATATATATATAAATATGCAATATTAAACACTATTCTGAACAATATAAATCATACACAATGGAAACTTTTCAGCCTCTCGCATTCGGGCAAAGAAAGACTGATAACCGCTTCTTTCTGGACTCATAAATCAGATTCCAGGCGCTTGATGGAAATGGCTTCAGCGAACTTGAGGAGAATTGAGCTCTTTTGCCTATTGATAATTTTGAAAGACTTTTCGACGTCCACCTCATCACTCGTGTCGAGAAGACGCCTGGCGATGGCACTGTTTAAAGCATTTGTTCCCTTTAGACATAATCGTAGATATGCCCTTCTTTCTGTTCTTCCAATGTAACTGCTCCCGCATATACATGTAAATTTGTGTATACAGTTGGAGTTAACATGAGAAGGATATCTATCGATTTTTGATTGCACCAAAGAGCAAGTTGTTCGATAGACAGGGACGAGCTTAGCTGCAGGATAGGCTACGGCTAGTGATGTACTCAGCCTTCTGTTGACCATTGCTGCAATGTTTTCACCTTTATAATCAAGCTGAAAGTAGATTGGCTTTTTCCCCACTGTGATTTGTTTTACATTTGAGACTTCGGATCTCCCATACTTGTTAATGAACCTTGGAGGGTAACCATTGCTCCTAAACATCTTTTCAAGAAAAACAAATTTTTCCTCTAATTTCTCTATAGAGCATATTCTCCTCGCTCCATAGTACAGAGTCTTGACTAGACCACGTTTAAAGCTATTTGGACAAAAGCTATTAAAATGTAAGTATTGTCCTTTCCATGTGGGCTTTCGATAAATTGACTTCTGGCGATGTCGAGGAAGTGAAACTTTGTTCTTTCAAGGTTGGACGTGAATATATCTTCTAAAACAAGGCTAAGTGGACTGCCTATAGCTACCCCACCTATTTGGCAGTAAAGAGTGTTGTCAAATTGGAATTGCACATCCATGGTACACATTAGCGGTAGGCGTTTGAATTCCGACTCTCGGAGTGGGAGAAGATCAGACTGCTGACAAATGATCTCAATAGTTGGAATCATTATGAACAAGGAGGTTACATCAAATGACACCATGAACTTATTTAAAACGTTCATGTGGTTCACACTTTCAGAGAAATGAAATGAGTCTTTCATAGTGTGCACGCCTAGCCGTTGACAAATAGGTTCCAACTGCTCCGCAAGCCAACGTGCCACCTTCCTTAAAACATCCAGAGAAAATACATGGGTAACACTTTTTACAACAGTGAATTTGGAAAACCTTTGCAGAAATATACTCGTTATCATAGAAGAAGGAGGTAATGGTGTCCGTTGATACAAAATGATGGAAAAGCTCTTCTAGAATATATATATATATACGACACCCTTTCGTCAAAATGATCGGAGAGGAAATCTTCATTCTCTTTGGCATATTGTCAATTAAAAAAAACAACAACTGACCCCTCACATGAGCATCAGTGTATTCACAAGGATTTAAATTGAACAATCATTGAGTTAAGAACTCAAAATAGTATGATCCAAACCAGTACTGGGTAACTAACTAATACTGAATTTAGTAGGATATAAATATTTATTTTCAAATATTGGTCTTTGTAGGGATTTAGTTTGAGCTGAAATCGGTTAGAGAACCATTGGAAAACCTGCAGGGAGCACTGCCAGACAACTGTTTCCTCCGACCTAGTTCAGGACTCTTCATCAATACGCACCGACACCAGGGTTCAAAACTCAGGACCTTCTGGTCACAAGGCGAGCTAGCTCGTAGACCATTAAGCCACTGGGACCCGATCCAATGGCCGCTCCATGAATTCCAACTTCTGCCAACTCATGAAATAGAGCAACCACCTCGCAATGTCTTCTTCGATTAGTTGCTGCCTCATCTTCAGCCTGCTGTACCCTACTGGTCGTGGCTTCCCACTAGAACCACAGGTAACTGGCTGGATTCAACACAGAACTTGGCACCGAAGTGCAGCAGTTCCAGTTGCCACGTTCCAAATAGCACACAAAGGTAGACAGGAAAATGAGGGAAGAGAATCAATAGAATTTAGATAAGTATAAGAGTGAAACAGAATGAGTAATGGTAGAAAGGAATATGAAAGATTACAGAGACTGAATACATCTGCGTAAGCCATTGACAACGATTTTGAGCCATGTCACCTATTGTCTCCAGCCATTGATTCTCAGAGTCCCGAGGGCCACCACATACTCTTTTCCAACCTGCACCTATATCAGCTAGTAATGCCTGTTCGTCGGGGGAGGCGATGGTTAGGCATGCGCAGCACGTGACCTAGCCATCTCAATCTATGTAACTTTATAGCCTCTTTGATTGACTTTCCCTCTTTGCCCAACACTCTACGCCTAACGTCAACATTACTTACCTTATTATACCACCTAACGTGAGAAAGAGATCGTAGACATCTATGATCAAAAAACAGGTAACTGCCTGAATAGGACCAGTAGCTAGTGAGTATCAGATGAATTTTCAAGTAGTGGTTTTTGTAGGGATTTAGTTTGATTGGTCGGAGGATTTCATTATCAGCTGACAATCAGTTAGAGAACCATTGGAAAACCTGGGAATTCTGGACAACTGTTTTGAACCTCGTTGGGTGCGTATTGCTGAAAAGTCCCAAACCAGGCTGACGAAACAGCTGTCCAGTGCTCCCCACAGGTTTTCCAATGGTTCTCTAACTGATGTCAGCTCATCATGATGAAATCCTCCAATAAATATTTTTATTGTTGAACACTTAGGCGGCTTCTACCATTCCCCTTCTCATAATAACCAGTCGCTACAAGTAAACAGAAATAAGATTTATCAGCAGTAAAAGTGAATTTAATACACACACACACACAGTATGATCAGTAATGTGAAGTAATTTATTCAATGTAAAAAGCCAATAATAATGCACTTTATGTATAAATTACTGGATATACATATATAATAGTAATTCTTTTATTCTCAACATTATCAGTAGCAATGTGACTAAAGATGAAATAATTCTCTTTCTAAGACAAAAAGGAGAAGGTGAAAATAGAGAAAGAGAGAGAGAGAGAAAAGAAATCACCAATGATTATTATTAGTACATTATTTATTTATTTCTCTTAGCACTAATATAAGCGACCAACTGAGATGAGATGAGAAAAAAAAGGAGAGAAAAAACAAACAAACAATCGGTAAATGAGAAAAAAAATAGACTTTCTAGAATTTTGAAGCTTCACAATTGAAGAAATGGTAAACAGCAATAATAATAATAAACCTCTTTTATTGTTGGTGTTTAAAATAAAAGGCGGACTGATTGATTGACTGAAGAAGAAGTAAAAAAAAGATAAAAAGTAAACATTGATGTGAAATCATAATTTGCCAATAAAAATTGGAGACTCCGTTTTTCCTTCGTCGTCGTGGTGATGGTGGTGGTGTTGTTGTTGATGTGTGTATGTGCTTTTTAATACGATCGACAGTTTGACAGCTGATTGATTATATATGCATTTCATGATTATCTTATTTTCTAATATATATATATATATATATATATATATATATATATATACTTATAGATATTCTCCCACTTCTACGAAGTTGCATACAATAATTCCAAGAACAAATGAGAAAGCCTAAAGGTTAAGAGAATGAAAGAAACAAAAGGGAACACAGTTATCAGAGCAGTTTTCAACGACAAAACGACAGAAACAATGAAATACAACACAGTAACAATAATGTATGCAGAAGTATTGTACACTAGACTATGAAGTACAAAAAAAAAAGAACACGGTGAAATACACTAGCCATTGTTTACCTTGTCATTAGTGATATATTGATTCCGGATTAGACGAGGGATTGATATCAGTTAGAGAACCATTGAAAACCAGGGAGTACTGGACGGCTGTTTCTTCCTAGTTTGGGACTCATCCGCAGTAGGCATCCACTGGCAGTCGCGATAAAATCACGAATTGGTAGAAGTTAGAATTCATGGGCTGACTATTGAATCAGCTCCCAATGGCTGAATGTTATACGGGCTTGTCTTGAAATTGGAAGGTCCTGGGTTCGAAACCCAGTGGGTGCGTGCTGCCTATAAGTCTCGATTAAAGATGAAACAGCTGTCCAGTACTCAAGTGGTTTTCAGTGGTTTTTTAACTGATATCAATCCGTGGTCTAACTTGAAACAAACAGAATCCCAACAAACCAATTCTTGAAAACATATTGATTTATTAGCTGATTGTCGGTGAAACTCTTCGTCTTATTGATTAGAGACTACCGCTATCAAACTGTTCAAACTAAGTTATATCTAAGTGATACATAAACATTTTATTGTTTTTGTAACTATGCCTACACGTCATATTGGCATCCTACGCTAAAATTAACAGTTTTGAGACTAAAGTGTTTCGAAATTGACAACAGATAGAACTATGTCTGTCTGTCGGTTTTCGACATAGAACTTTGCACATATGTGCGGCAGTTCAAGTCGCCACACTTCATGCAGCACACAAAGCAAGAGAAGAAAGTAGGAGAAATGCATAATATAGACAGTAAACAGAGGTGTGAGACAAAGGAATAGTAATAACGAAGAACAAAACAGTTTAACTGGAAATCATAAGTCACAAGGAGTGGATGCATCTGCGCCAGCCATTGAGAACGATTCTCAGCCATATCACCAATTGTCTCCAACCATTGGTTTTTACCGTCCCGAGGACCCCAACCAGGAAGTCTACACCTTCCTACGTGGCTTAGATTAACTGTTGTAGATTTCATTGACTGGTGCCATGTTTTCCTTTGACCGCCGCTTGCTTTTTTCCAGCCTGACCCTATATCAGCTAACATTGCCCATTGTCGAGGAAGACGATGACTAGGCATACGTAACACATGTCTTAACCATCTCGGTCGATGTAAATTCACAGCCTCGTCGATTGATTTCCCCGCCTTGCCTAGCACTCGACGCCTAACCTGAATATTGCTCATCCTATTATACCACTTCACACGGGAGATAGAACGCTGGCACCTATGATCAAAGACAGCTAGCCAGCCTTTTCATGTCCTCCTCTCTCAATGGCCAGATCTCACAGCCATGAAGGAGGACGGAGTGGACTGCTGAGCAGTACACCCGCCCTTTATTCGATAGTCGGATATCACGTCTACACCAGAGACTGGCATATGCGAAACTAGCCCTCTGTATCCGTGCTGAGATTTCGTCAGCGATCAACCCGTTGGGGCTGATGGTACTTCCCAAGTAAGTGAAGCGGTCAACGTGCTCTACCACTTCACTTCCTATTTCTAATCTAGGGGTCGGTGTAGTCCAATCCTGCAACATCATCTTACATTTTACAGGGGCGAATGGCATGCCAAACATACGAAGATTGCAGCTCAAGGTGTTCAGTAGACTCTGCATTTTGTCAGCGTCCTCGCCTAGAAGGACTATATCGTCTGCATATTCTAAGTCAACGAGATTATTCCCTGGTAGCAAGTCAATCCCTGAGTCGCTGAAGTGTGTTAGAGTTAAGTCCATTAGTACATCTATGATGAATTTGAATAGGAATGGGGATAATGGGCATCCTTGACGGACGTCACTACTAGTCGTCACCACTTCAGATGACAACTCGCCGTAAGCCCTCACCTGGCTGCATGAGTACGAGTAGAGTGCCTTAATCAGTGCAATATATTTTCTCGGCATTCCCTTTACAGCCAAGCATCGCCAGAGAGCCTCTCGGTCGACAGAATTGAATGCCACCTTTAGGTCAAGAAATATAATGATTGTTGGACGCCAGTAGGAATGCCTATGTTCTAGAATCTGTCGGAGGGTGAAGGTATGATCAATACACCCTCTTCCTGTCCTAAAACCTGCCTGGTTTTCTCGTGTTTGCGCCTCCCGAGAACCACTTAGTCTACGCAATATTATTGAACCTAGAACTATAGATACTATATTAGTCAAGCTAATCCCTTTTGTAACTATGCCTACACGTCATATTGGCATCCTATGCTAAAATAAACGGTTTCCAGACTAAAGTGTTTCGAAATTGACAACAGGCAAAACTATATAGTGATGCAGCAGGTTCTACCTTGCTGAACTGGATAGTTTCTACGATAATGCATGAACTTTAATTGTCTACACACACACGCCACGAATGCAACAAACTTAGTTTAATTCCAAAAAAGAAAGATAAAGTAGCTGGAGAGATATAGGACCTAGGTGAAATGATCAGACTGGGACACTTTACCGTATGAGTCAAAAATTTGTCTTACCAATGATAAATAATGCTGCGAAGCAGTACCTAAAAATTATTCTAATGCTGACTAAGGGCTGACTATACGATGAAGTTTTACGCAGTTCTAGTGTGAAGTCGTGATCAGTGGAGTTCCCCAAGTCGACTCACGAATAACACTCATTAGCGATGGCGTCATATATCGTGAATTGGTAGGAGTAAAAAATCATTGCTTATTCACTGAATTCACTCCCAGCGGCTGAATGTTCAACAGCGTCAGACTCTCTATGAGGTAATGGGTGGCTTACTAATGAAGATTCTATAGTTTTTGGTTTGTAAGGGTTAGTTATGTTTTTACGAGTTGATCACGGATTGATATCAGTTAGAGAACCATTGAAAACCAGCAGGGAGTACTGCACAGCTGCTGTTTCATCCTAGTTTTGGGAATCATCGACAGTACGCACCCACAGCCATGGTTCGAACCCAGAACCTTCCTGTTACAAGGCAAGCTGGCTCGTATACCATTCAGCCACTGGGACCTGATTCAATGGCCAGCCCATGAATTCTAACTTCTACCAATTTGTGATTTAGCGCGACCCCAACCAATGTCGTTGATGGGACATCCATCCTCAAACGTGACATCTGGTTGGACCTCAGTGGTCACGACTCCTCACTAGAACTCCAGGAAACTCCATCCTGTAGCAAGTCCCTAGCGAGCATCAGATTAATATAGTTCTCGGTTTGTAAGGGTTGGGGTCGCCCTAAATCACGTGCGTCGGTGGCACAGTGGTTAGGACTCTCGCTGACCATGCACATGGTCCGGGGTTCGATCCCCTGCCGACGCACACCCGATATCTATGGTCGACCTGCGAAATTCGGGCTACCGATATCCATGCTGAAAATTCCATACTTGTACTGAAAATACGGTGTGGCATCAAGCTGTAATCAAAAATATAAAAAAATAAAAAATAAAACTGGTAGAAGTTAGAATTCATGCGCCATTGAATCGGGTCCCAGTAGCTGAATGGTATACGAGCCAGCTTGCCTTGTAACCGGAAGGTCCTGGGTTCGAATCCCAGTGGGTGCGTACTAATGAAGAGTCTAAAATCATGACGAAATAGCTGTCCATTACTCCTAGGCTTTCAGTGGTTCTCTTACTGATGTCAGACAGTAATCCGACTTGAAACCAAATAAATCGCCGCAAAACAGTAATTGGAAATTAATTTAACCATATAGAGAAGTTTTAGCTTCACATAATCTCCATATCAAGCTTAGACGCCTAACCCATAGCTTCTTATTCGAATTCCACTCAATGACATAGTGCGTGTGTGTCCAATTCATTTCCATTCCTTTCTGCACATCTGTTGGGTAACAGACCATCTAATATTCAGTATCAAGCCATTAAATTATCCATTTAACGCGACTTTAATTTTAAATAAACTGGTAATTATGACTGTGGGTATACTTATCAATCTCACATAACGCAATAAACTGGGTGGACTACTTATATATGTCCAAAACAAGTTCACTTTTAATAGTTTGAAAAAATTTGGCCATTGGGTATATGATATTCATGATAATAAAGGTTTTTTTGTATTTCCCAATCAATGAAAAACAAAACGATATACTGTTGTGTTTATTGACGTCTCGCTATGTAATGATGCCAATAGCTTTACCAAAGTAGTGATATTAAACCAGAATGTACAAAACCTCAGCTTATATATATTACAACTTAATCATCGTTCCTCAGCATGGGGTCACTTTTGCGTTGTCCAGTTGGCCAATTGGTAAAGATAACAAAACCAGGTGTAGATTGTTGGATTGGATAAGTGTGTAAAATTATAAAAGCAGCATGTGTTTGCATAATGAAATCGCTTATCATTTTCGTGTATTGATTTTTTCATTTCATGGGGGAGGGGCATTGTTGTGACCAAGTCAAATTCTGTTTTAGTCCATCATTCCTATTCAGATAATCGGGATTTCACTGGATACAAAGTGCCTCTGATGATGTGAGACGTTCTTTGTGATTTCTGAAATTTTTCTTCAAAACATCAGACACACTGCGAAACAACCTTGTCCATATAAAAGACCAAATCTCTAAAGATTCTCTATCTAATTGTGTCCATAAAATAAAATGCTTGGAATGTGAAGCGATATACATAGGACAAACATTGCCAGAGAGAAATGAACACTGTAGAGCATCTGTTCGACCGCCCAGAAATCCAGCTAAACTAGAAAACCCAGAAAAATCATTAGCCATAGGTCTACACGCTATAGAATCAGGTCCCAAAATTGATTTTGACAATATTGAAATAATCCAGAAAAAGCATTTCAGAAATCACAAAGGACATCTCACATCATCAGATGCACTTCATATCAAATGGAATCCAAGTTGTATGAATAGCAATGATGGACTAAAACTGAATTTGACCTGGTTACGACACCTCCCTCCCCCATGAAATGACAAAATCAATACACAAATGTGATAATCGATTTCATTATGCAAACACATGCTGCTCTTACAATTTTACACATTTATCCAATCCAACAATCTACACCTGGTTTTGTTATCTCTACCAGTTGCCCAGCTTGACAACGCAAAAATGACCCCATGCTGAGGAACGATGATTAAGTTGTTATATATATATAAGCTGAAGTTTTGTACATTCTGGTTTAATATCACTACTTTGGTAAGGCTATTGGCAGCATTAAATAGCGAAACGTCAGTAAACACAACAGTATATCGTTTTGTTTTTTATTATTATGGTTGGACTACTCTTCTTACATCATTTACGATAAAACCATCGTCCTATTATACAAACGGATGATAATAACAGATATAGTTAGATATCGACCGCATAGAAATTTCAAAGTTCATAAAATACACATGCTTAACTACTATCCGTACAACGTGTATCATTTGAGAAAAAAGTGCAAATGAACACAAGTCAGAATAAATTCAAACAGAAAAAGAGAAGCAGAACTTGATTAATTTCATAAACACTATAAAAAAGAAAACTTACTACAATCACAAGAGAAACAACCGGTACTATGAATGCACCAGTTATAACAGATTCTATGTGTGAGTAAAGGAATTCTGCACACCCCTGTAAGAAACAATAAAGAAAACAAACATGGAAAGCCTACATAACAACAAAGGATAGAGATTTGATGAGAAGCAATAAGGGGGGGGAGTAGCAACAGTCTAACTACTCATAAGTTATGAAGTGAATCAGTGAGTCGCAGCATACACCTACACAAAAACGATAATATATTTGAATAAAGTAGAAATCAACATATATATATTTTTCTCTCTCTCTCTCGCTTAATTTCTTCACTTGGTTACTTATATCACTTGAATATAATTATAGGAAAATCTACAAAATGACCGTGGCCTGAGTCTCTCTGGTCTGGATTCAACACAGAACTTGGCACCGAAGTGCAGCAGTTCCAGTTGCCACGTTCCAAATAGCACACAAAGGTAGACAAAAAAATGAGTGAAGAGAATCAATAGAGTTTTGACAAGTATAAGAGTGAAACAGAATGAGTAATGGTAGAAAGGAATATGAAAGATTACAGAGACTGAATATATCTGCGAAGGCCAATGACAACGATTTTGAGCCATGTCACCTATTGTCTCCAGCCATTGATTCTTAGAGTCCCGAGGGCCCCAACTCGGAAGTCTGCATCTCCCTCCCTACCTCACTCAGTTTAACTGTCAGGGATTTCATGGATTGATGCCATGTTTTCGTTTGGCCACCACTTACTCTTTTCCAACCTGCACCTATATCAGCTAGTAATGCCCGTCCGTCGGGGGAGGCGATGGTTAGGCATGCGCACCACGTGACCTAGCCATCCCAATCTATGTAACTTTATAGCCTCGTCGATTGATTTTCCTTCTTTGCCCAACACTCTACGTCTAACGTCAACATTACTTACCTTATCATACCACCTAACGTGAGAAAGAGATCGTAGACATCTATGATCAAAAACAGTCAACCTTTTCATGTCTTCAACTCGTCTTGGCCATGTTTCAGAGTCATAGAGAAGGACGGAGCGAACTGCTGAACAGTACACACGTCCCTTGGTTGATAGCCGGATGTCACGCCTACGCCAGAGATGGTGTAAGTTTGAGTGGTCTGAGTAACATACGTTGAGCTTACTTCTACCTTAGTAACACATTAATTTCACAGAAAGTGCATCTAACACTTACACCACTGAATGATTTCAATAGAACTTCATGGCGTGAATTATAATGATGGCTGGTGTCAAAAATACATGCCAGTGTGACTAATGAAGCTTATAAATACCCACTAAACTATTGAGTTTATGGTAGTAACATGAATGGAATAAACTGAACACAAGAGGTAGTGACTGACTTAAAGTAAAATAACGGTTTGAGTATAATTATTATTGTTCCCTTGGGTTCCTAGTGGAACATAGGGCTTCAACTACACGTCTCCACTTCCATCTCTCTTCTGTTGTACTTTTCACCTGCGTCCATGTTAATCCATACTTTTTCAACTCCTCTTCACATGATCTCCTCCATGTCACCCTTGGACGTCACACTCGCCGGTTCCCTTTTGGGTTACACTCGAGCTATGGCCTGACGCGCGATTTCACCCAGCGGCCTCCTCAGAGAGTGTCCAATCCATCTCCACTTTCTCCTGCATATTTGTTGGGCGATTGGTTCTTGTTTTGTTTGTTCCCATAGTTTCTTGTTGGTGATTCTTTCCGGCCATCTGATCTTGAGTATAGAGCGAAGACAGTTGTTGATAAAGGTCTGCAACAGGCTGTTGGAAATATTATTGGTGACCCACAGCCAAGTTTCTGATCCGTATAGAAGAACTGACTTGACGTTTGTATTGAGTAAGGGACATATATAGATGTATATAGCTCAGTGACAGCACATCTGGTCAATTCAGGACATTCACCACCATTCGAAAAATCCTTCAAAGTCATATGCAAGATTCGATCAAACCTATCAAAAGGAGTAAAATCAAGACATCTGGGCATAGCCGAGGCACTAGTCATCCAAAAGCTCAAACACAAGCTATGTGTCCAAAAGAAATACGTTCAACCCTTGTCCCTGCCGTGGCTGTCATAAACAGGTAATTCTTTTAACAGTAATTATTCCATTGCCTTTCTTATCCAAACTTCCTGTTTATTCATGTTATTTTTAAGTTTTTCTTAATCCATATTTACACTACCATATTTTCATATCTGAACTTCCTGCCTATTTTGTCATTTTATTATTTCTACATATTTAGTACCTGACTGCATAAACAATTATTCTTCACATTAGTTATGATCCCACTAAATTTTTTTATCCAACCATCCTGTCTATTTTGTTATTGCTACATTTGTAACCCCTAATTGCACAATATGTAAATCTTCTCAGTAATTATGATGCTATTTTCTTTGAGTTTTATCCGTCTCTCCTGTTTATCATGGCACTTTAATTCCTAATTGTAATTTTGTTATTTTGACCCTTGACCGGAAATTATTGTGGAACTTTCCCACACATTCATCATAAATAAATACACGAATGTACAGCCTAGTTGATGACTTCGTCGAATAGAAAGTTTTCTTCGCTGCAACCGTCTTTTTAAATGTAGGTGATTAGCAGTCATAGTCGATAAACTGACTTAAATGTAACCATTTTTTCGTTGTATTCAAACTTTTTCCAGCTATAACAGTTATCCCCTATTAAAACAAATAATTTTTTTCTTTAAAAAAGGAACTTACTTTCTGAAAAGTTATCTGTCCTGGTTCATCATTATCTGATTTTGTTTTCAAGTCCTGAAGTACTTGTTCCTCTAAACTCATTAGTGTACGACAAGAGTCGGGTACAAAGGCAACTAAAGCCGATGAATTTGGATGGCTGTATCTCCACTTTGAAGAGGCATAGATTTGAGGACCCGAAAATCCACAACATTTACCCTAAATTCAATAGAAAGAGGAAGGAAGCAAATGTATTTACTAATTAGAAGTGGTAAAAATATCTATAATTTAGAAATTGTATTATCACAATACTATTTCAGTTTACCTATTCCAGCCAAGTTAAACTTCAAGCACCATTAAATATTAGTGGAGTGCGACCGCACTAATGACCTTGAAACGCGCACTGAGCAAGTTAGTGAAACCTGACAAATAATGTTGTCATCAGCAATAAAATATCCTCATCAAAGTGCTATGCTATTTAAATGGGATATCTGGCAAGTTACAGCTTAGGTTTGGGAAAGATTAAGTTACGCTTTAAGCCAAGGACAAGTTACGGTTAGGTTAGCCTAATTAAGGCAACATTAGGGTTGGTTCGAGTTTGATTACAGTTAGTTTAGGCATATTTTCACATTAGGGTTAGGTTCAGAAAAGATTAGGGTGATTGTTAGGGTTAGAAGACCTAAATAATTACATGAATAGAATATGGTTAAATTACTCCGTTGATGTAAGAATAGAAGTTGTGCATTGTGGCAGAGTATAATTCCATAGCGGACAAAATTTATTTTGATAAAGTCTCACAGTGTTATACAGTTATATTTACTGATGACGTTTCGAGCACCATTTATTGCTCAGAAAATATTACTGTATAACACTGTGAGACTTTATCGAAATAAATTTTACCCACAATGGAATTATACTCTGTTGATATTCCAACCTAAAACTGAGAGCTATCTTTATCACATGTGAGAGAAAGGTATCCTCTGTAACACTTTTATACAGTTTTTGTGCAACTTTTTCATAAATATATATGTATTCCATACACAAAAATGCCTCCTTCACGTGATTGGTGCGTTCGAGGTCATTTGATGATTGATGGTAGTTAGTTGTGCTTAAAGTTTAACTTTGCCCCTATTCCGAAGAGAGTGAACAGTGAGAGATAGTTTGCCTTTGTCCACATATTAAAATTATGATTTGGAGTCCACATAATAAATTCCTAGAATGCATTAAGAAATTAATCCATACAACTAAATAACTATGTGGATGCATATTCTGTATCATGCATCTCGCCTAGCCTATTGCATTAACCCTTAGTGATTAATCAGTGTAGGCATGGACAATAAAAATTGAAAAGTCAATCGAATCCAACAGCAGTATTTCGGTCTCTGTTACTTATAATGTGACAGAAAGATGAGGATTAGTGTGAATCAGTAGTAGCAATTAGTTCAAGACATAGAGGCTTTTCAAGTAGCCTGATTCTAAACTCAACGTAAATATTTTAGTATTATTGTTCCCTTGGGTTCCGAGTGGAACATTCGGTTTCAACAGTACATCTCCACTTTGTCCTATTTTCTGCTGGCTTCTATAGCCGGGAACACGATTGCCATCAAACTCTCAACTACCTCTCGAACGATCTCCTGAACCTCACTCTCAGACGCCTAACTCGGGTTCCACTGGAGGGCCTAACGCGCTATGTCATTCGAAGGTCTCCTCAGTGTGTGCCTAATTCATCCCCATTTACTTCGGCCTATTTTTGGGGCAGTAGGTTCTTGGTTGGTCTGTTCCAATAGTTTCTACTTGCTAATTCTTGCTGGACATTTGACCTTCAATATGGAGCCGTTGGAGGTAACTGCTGATACAAGTCCGCGACCTAAATACTCTACGTTAAGCTCCAGGTTTCTGATCCATATAGAAGAACTGACTGACTTGACATATGTGTTCAAAGTCCGAATCTTGTTCCTTATGCTGAGCGCAGCAAATTTCCAAACCGATTTCAGAGTTATGAAGGTGTATCTTGACTTCCCGATTCAGGCTGGCTCTGACATATTCATCCGTCCCAAGTACTCGTAGATGCTGCCTAGATAAGTGAAGGAAGTGATCTATGTCAAATTTCTTCCGTTGAGTGATCGATGTTCACTTGAAATACTGTATTCGCGGCCAGGACTTGTACGACTTCGAATTTCTGTAGAATCAAATATGAGTCGTCCGCAATATCCAGATCTTCTAGAGTGTTCTTATAGGTCCAATGTATTTCCGTCTTGTTGTTCCCCAAAGTCTTCCGCATAATCCAGTCCACCACAATTGGGAATATCATCGGTGATAATAGGCAGGCAGACATGTCTCACACCTGTAATCAGTTAAAAAGCCTCGCTGAGTTTCACGCTGTGGATAAGCTGATATTATCATTTGCCTTTGGAATGAGGTTGATGAGGATTTGGGGCACGCCACAGTGTTGAGATGTACAATAATAATAAAACAACATATGAGAAAAAGTAAGGCAAAGAATGAATATAGGATTTTATCTGGGAAGAAAGCAGTTATATTTGACAAGACCAAACAGGATTCGTCGAATTATTTTCAGAAAGGGAAGAAAGAAAAAATTGCAGCACGTTCGCCATTGATTGAGATTCTTGGCCATATCCGAGATAACGTTTCGAGCCGCCGATTCGAGCTGTCTCTCGGACCCCAACTAGTGAGTCGCGACGTGATAACCGATTTCCTTACACAAATATCCATCAACAGCACACGACGCCACGTCATGGGCTGACCACCTCTTTCTACTTTTTCCCATCCAGTCCCATGGGTGGCAAACAGAGACCGATATGGAAGCCTATGGGATGACATTTGTAGCACATATCCAAGCCACCGGAGTCGGTGTTTGCAGATGACAACACTAAATGAATAGGTGATCTCCACTGTGTCGAAACACACGCCACTGGACCTAAGGGTTACTCACCCAATGATGCCATCGAACGCCAGCAATTCTATGGAGTCAGCGATGATCGAATACGCAGAGTCACCGTACATCCTCAGCTGGGAGAGACCAGGTTTCGCAGACGTAGAGCAGGACAGCCCACACCGAAGCATTGTATACCCCACCTTTAACAGCCAGGCTAACATTGCGACAATACCAGAGGTGGCTCAAATTGACATATGACCCCCTAGCTTTCATGATACGGTTGGAAATCTCGTCCGTCACACCTCCGCCAGCACTCACACAACTACCCATATACACGAACTGATCGACGACTTCAAGTGGTTCACCTGCAAGAATGAGTGCAAGTACAGGTTCCTGCCAATCTTGTAACAGTACCTTGCACTTAGACGGTCCGAAGCACATATTGTACTTACAGACACTGATCGCCAACTGGTTAAGTGCGATTTTGGCAGCCTGCATACTATCGCACAGTAAGACAATATAGTCTGCATACTCGAGGTCGAAAAGTTTCTCTCCGGGAAGCAGATCTACACCACCACGCACGTCGTTCGGTGCTAACTCCAGAATGTCATCCGTGGCAAAGTTAAAGAGAAACGGGAATATTGGGTGACACTGTTAGACCCCACTATTCGTCGGTAACACTTATAATAGCTGCTTGTGTGCCTTTACTCTACCTGAGGTATTTCTGTATGGGGCTTTCAGGATGTTAACAAACTTCTCAGGTACACCCCTCTCTAGCGGACAGTAACAGATCTCATTTCTGTCCAACGAATCTAAGGCAGCCCTAATATCAAGAAACACAACGATTGTTGGCTTGCAAAACGTGTGCCGGTGTTCTAACAACTAACGAAGGGTGAACACATGATCAACGCACCCACGGCCTAAACGAAACCCAGCCTTCTCTTCGCGAATAAATCTCTCACATGTTTTGCACATCCTGCGAAGCAAGACAGCTACCAATATTTTAGACGCAATTGACAGCAAAATGATACTCCTTATGGTTGTCGCATAAGTTACTTGGACCCTTTTTAAAGATGGGGACGGTGGCTTCAGTCTACATTGATGGCACATCATCAATTTCCCGAACTTTCTTGAAAAAACCTATCAAAGACATGACGATATTCTCGCCACCGTCTTTAAAAAGAGCCGTGGATAAATTGTTTGGGCCAGATACCTTATGGGCCTTCAACATTTAGAGCTCCTTTCGGACTTCTGCTTCGGCTGGTGAGTCGGTATTGACCTACCAAGGAGCACTGGGGCTGATGACGTTGGGTGCTGCCCATAGTGGCCCGCCAAAATGCTTCTCAAAGTTCTCTGCCCAGCATTCCAGGCGTCTTTTCAACTGCCTCGCATACTGCCTTGCTGACACCCTGCTTCTTGCAACCGGTGGCTCGGATGACCTGGAACAACTTCTGACTGTTGCCAGGTGCAGCTTTTAACTCCATCTTACACGCACGCTTTGATCACCATGCTTCGCGGTCCTTACGTAAACACTGTTTAATCTTGCGCGTAAGCACCTTTCGCATTTTCTTGTACTGGCTACCTGCCAGAATAAACCGGCGTTCATCCAAAAGTTGCAAGGAACTCGCAGAAACCAAGTGGTTTTTAGCACAGCAATGCATGTGAGCTGCAATTCGTTGGTACATAGCCTCCCGCTTCTTACTCTCGTATTAATTCACAGCTTTACAGCACATAAACGATTGTAAGTGGGGATTAAGTCCAGTAATGTAGCTTTGGCTACAGTGTTAAGTGCGACACCGGCTACGCTGGATGCCAACGTCATAGGATCTCCGGATAAGCGTGGGTGATACATACTGTTCGAACCTCCAGACAGAGAAGATATACGAAGCATTTCACTGGGATCTTGAATGCGGGTCTCCAAAATGCAGCAGACATCGATAGCGAGGCTTTCCAACGATCTCACCTGACCTAATTGATGTCAGATTTGCATCAGTGTCCCAACATTGTAGGCGGCAAGCTTGAATGAGACACGCGGTTTCAAGATATCTGTGTTAGGTGTCGCACTGGGGACAATCATTTTGAAGGCTACTCATTGACATCTGGAGACCACACAGATAGGCTGGGAATTCAGACAAAGGCAAATGGCTGACAAATGTGAATACACCAAGAATAGTAAAAGTAAAGCATAAAAGTCTATGTATAAAAATAGGATTAAACGGAAACACGTAGCCAAAAATATCATCATTGTGTGTGCGCGTGAGAATGAGTGTGTAACTAATTTTCCTCATTATTTGTTGTTTCATTGTTAGTGCGAGGACCGGGA